TAATATATTATTTATATTTATATTGAAGGATCACTTTCCAATTTAAACAGACAGGCAGAAGTAAACTAGGAAAATCAAGTTATTGCTGGGAAATAGAAGGGGTTTTTTTGTCTTTGCTTCAGCAAGCAAGGCAGACAGAAGCAAATACTGTACAGTGAAAAGGCTCACATTGTACCCAAAGGGAAATGCTTTCAGAAACCTCTGCTGAGGTTTCATAGTAGTACCAGGGAAGGAAAGACAAACACTGAAATAATTCTCAGACCAGAAGCATTGTATTCTCGAATCTCCACAAAGTCACTTGTGCAGCTGGAGGAATTTTGAATATCTAGGCCTTCTAGTCTGATGGTAAGATAGTGGCCCCTGGGACCCTGCAGAAACCATTCACACAGCAGGTTGTCTTGGTAACGAAGCTCAGGATACCCCATGCTTTCAATGATGCCAGCTTGTCCTATCACTGTCCCGCCACAGGGAGCTGCAAAAGGAAGAACATTGCTTGTTCACTGAAGGACCTCAGAGAGATGACCTTTCTCCTAAACAAGATTTAAAGCTGAGGCACAACTGACTTGTTCTCTAACTGTGGTAATAAAACAGGAATTGCCTGCCAGTTAAAAAATCTTCCACTTTCTCCTTCCAATTCAACCAGTCCTAGGTTTTTTGGTTGATTTTTTTTTTCCACACCCCCCCTTCCATTGCAAGCATCCCTTCCTGTCTGCCATCTCTCTTACTTATTTGAATAAACTCACAGATTTCAAGGTCTATATCTAATCTCTACCCATGTCTATATTTACCAAAACATCTTGAAAAGCTGTATCAGATAATTATAAAGAAATTTAGTATGCTAAATGTAAATCAAAATTTTTTATGACTGGCAAAAGTTGACTGCTGGTTTGGGCCTGCAACTATGTTCAGACTCCTCTTCTTTTTCCTGCAGTCCCTTCCTGTTCACATTCTACTCCTTGCAATGCCTTGGTAAGGGATCACTGCACAATTCAGGAAACAGCTATTTATTTTTAATTTTCTGTCTCTGAAAACTCATTTCTCTGTGGTACCTGCAAACATAAGTTCATAATACTAAGGCTTACAGCAAATAATATTCCCAGGTGGAATTTAATGGATTCTACAGTGTATTCTGTGTGTCTGCTAGTTACAATCTTTTCATGGCAATAACAGCTGTGTTCATACTGTCTGCTCTTCTGAGTGATTTGTGCTTCATTCCAGGATGACTGGCATACAGCTGAGATACTGTAAATCTGTTGTGGATAAATATAAATTGTAGCTTCGGATACTAACAATGTTTTCTTGCAAGTTGCTTTAGTTTTCACATTCAGAAATATAGTAGCACACTATATTGGCTTAAGTGTTTGAGATCTAACACAAACAGCAAAATTCTGTGTAAAGCAATATAGTCCACTGCTTTGCCTTTGAGAAATTAACAGTCCTAGATTTTCCTATATGACTGACACTAACATAATAGCTGCTATTCTTTGAATATTAACATTATCAGAACAAAAAAGTAGCATATTTCTGAATCTGATCAAAGACTATTTTTTATTTAATTTTATAACTTTGCTAGTGCTTTCTAATCCTGTTTTTGCAGCTTGAGAGAAAATAATTTTGAAGTATTTCTTTTCCCAGCTGACAAATAATGGTTCTTACTGTTCATTCCTTTTTAAGTCCATTGTTGTGCTGCCCCTGTTTGTCTAGCAGCACTGTTATTATAGATTGATTTACATTTACATAAAGAAGCTCCTAATTTGTTCTTCTCCTGCCAACTCTCAGTTGATCTTTGCATTCCCCTTCAGGATCCTCCTCATGAAAGTGACACTAATTCTGCATGCTGAAAATCAAATCATGTTACATGACTTTATCCACATCAACCTTTTTTTCTACTGCCCCTTTGATAATTGTCTTTGACAAGAGGTTATCCAGTCTTTGTTTCCACTGCTGCAGATCTATGAGGACTTTTCTATTCCCATTTCCATTTTCCATTCCCATTTCCCACCTCTTGCTAGGTGCAGAACACGCTGATGGTAACCCATACGATGATTCTGATGCCTTAGTTCTAACACTAATTGAAAGAGGCACGTATCTGTCAGTCCACCTCATAGGCATGATTTAAGCCCTATTACAAAAGCTTGAACTTGAAACCAAAATCTCCTCTAAAATCAGAGAAATTGATGAATGCAAGCATTACCGATGGAGTATTTAGCATTGAATCCCACGTGTGTGGCACTGCTGTCAGACCTGAACCTCAGGTACATTTCAGCTCCTGAGGATCTCTGTGAGCCTGGCATCAAACTTCCACACAGCTTGGCAATGATGGGGGCAGTGGAGTCAGCGCCGTTGCGTAGCTCTAGGTAACTGAAACTGCAGCTAGAAGAGGAGAGAATTTTCTGTTCAATGTATAGCAGTATTGGTTTGAAATCATTTCAGTAGGTGCACAAAGCCATGAAGCTGTAGTGAATTAGACCAGTTTCCATGCAGTGTGACCAGGACAGAATTAACAAGTCCATAATCAACGATAGTTATGTAATATTTGAATTAAAACGAGTGCTAGAAACATTGAGAAAGACTCATTCCAAGCCCAATCTATGACCAGATCAGATCTGACAGAAGGAAGTCCTGGGGAGGGGTATGAACAGCACTGATAAAGTACTTGTGACCATCTTTACCATACATTTTTGGCAGTAGTCAGATTCAGCAGATATTCCCTGTTAAGCCTCATTGATGACTGTTGAATTAAGGAACAGATATAAGACAGATGAAAGGAATAAAATTTCAAATCTGGAGGCTTACTTAGATGGCTTAGAAAGACCAAAAATATCTTAACTAGCAGCTTTGCCTTCAGAATGATGCAGTGTCCTGGGAGGCCAGAGAGAAAAGACACCTTTGGGATTCTCCATCCTGCACCATTTTTTCTGGACATGGTCTCACAGGAGAGGGTCACCTTTGTCATACAGTGGTCCAGCCCCAAATCAGTGAAGTTACATCAGCTGGAAACTAGGCCTTATTTTATGCTTCAGGCTGGGGGTGCAAAATATGTAAGCGCATTGCAAATCAGCTGACAGGCAAGGGAGGAGGAAGACAAATTGTTGTGATGGTAATCCATTGGATTTAAAAACACCTGAGAGTCAAAATGACTGAAAATCTGAATATGAAAGGACTAGAGGGCACAGATTTTAGAGAAAGCACCTTTCTACCATGCTTCCTCTCTGTTATATTCATCTCTATCATGCACTGCAAAGTTCTAGGAATGCATACCAGTGGCTTGATAGCTTCAGTGATCTCTCTCAAAAATTTCCTAATCACTTTTGATTGTAAATCAGGAAGTGCGCTCTAGGGGGAATTAGAGAAAGTAACAAGGAAAGAAGAATCAGAAAGGAGTCTCTGAAGAAACGCAGGCAAAATAATGTGGATGTATACTTTGGTGAAGGTTCAATGTAAAACTGGTCTTCAAATTGCAGCTCTACTGCATGTCCATTAGGAGCCTTTATGGTCCAGACACAGTCAGCATGCGGGGGATAATTGCTCGGATAGTTAGGAGAAGACGCATATCCACTGGGGTTGAGATCATTGATATAAATATTCCCTCCACAAGCTGGGAAAAAAAAGATCGCCAATATAAAACAACAACATGTTAAGGAAATGGGTGAGGCATCAAAAATATGAGTCATCGCGATATTCCAACACAGTTTCCTTCAGTGTCATATAGTTACATCAAAAACAAATGAATTTTACTGGTTACTGTAGGAAAACATTTTAATGCAGTTGAATCCTGTGTTCCTGCTTCCCTATCCTTCCTCATTTCCAATTGTTCAGGGCCTTGAATTAAACCGCTAATAGTTCTTCCTTGATTAAACTGCTATTAGTTCTTCCTTGGATTGCTTCTAAACCAAGCAGAAGTGTATTTCTTGCCTTGTTCCTACACCAGTTCCCAAGAGCTAGAAAGCCTACAAGTCAGACCCATCAATCCTTCTGTGAATCACTCCCCAACTTCTGCTTTCCAAAAATTGAAATGTCTGTTGGAGACAATAATGAATGAGGAATGTCAGTCAGAGCAAACATGAGGATTTGTTCAGGTCCCTTATCCTACATAAAACCCCTTGTTTTGACCAAAAATGTTCCATGAAATCCCCCCACTATGTTCTAGAAATACTGGTTTAACATAGGGTTTTAGTCAAGTTTCATAAATTTAAGTGGTAGAAATACTACTGTACAGCTTCACCCATTCCCTTCATGAATCCTCTACAGTAATGCTAACAATGATTCTTTGTGGCAGCAGGGAAAAGTAGGCAGAAAACAAGCACTTAAAAATTTGAGTAGATTGACAGGTTGCCTTGGTTGTGTTTAGTTACAGTGTTTAACAGGAGGCCTTCTGGTGTCCCAAGTGCCATGTGTCATGAATACAATGGAATAACTACAAATGCCAAGTCTTTGATTTAACCCTGGGACCTGAGTCTCCATTTTTTTCATTCTTTCAAAAAATGTTAGGTCTGACAGGGAAGGTTATTTTCTCAGCTGAGAGTAAAACTTGTGAGAAATGTTATCACCTTTTGAGACACGCTGCCCTAAATCATTCCTGACATCATTTAGCACTTGCACTGGGTACTATATGTTCAAAATAACATTCTTGTTTCCAGGTGTTTTTTTTTTTCCTTTCCTGTATGAATTTTGAACATCTCTTCCTAACTATAGAAGCTACTTCCCTGCTAAAGGGTTTTCCCTAAGTTTTGGGTTGGTTTTTTTTATCTTTAATATCTCCAGGTTCCATGACCTGGAGCTGGCTCTCTTAAAAACGACGAATTTAAGTGTCAGATCAGAAGTCATGCACTAAAGAAGGAAACAGGACATTTTTGCAGACATCTGATTTTACCAGGGTTGGAACTTACAACAAGAACCTCCTTCAAGAGGACAAACTCCCAGTTATATCTACAGAATTGCAGAATTTAAGTTTATTTATTTCCTAGACTTACCTAGACTCTTAGCCTCATATTTCAGTTTGAATCCTTGACCTTCGTCAGAAATGAAGTGGACAAACAGCTGATTGTCTGTGGTGTACATGGTAGAGATGGGGCTGCTTCCACAAAACCGTCCATTCCTTCTTCTGGACACCAAAGGTGGGGCAGCATTATCCAACCCATTCTTCAGCTAGAAGAAAAGAAATTGCTAACATCACTCAAGTAAACAGCCTGGAATGTAAACTTTGAGCAAACACCATCTCAATGCTTCCAGCCATGGGGTAAAACAATAACCTAGTGATTAATTAATGCACAGCAATAAATAAGAGAGACAGAATGGACTAATCTCTGTGGTATTTCTCTTTGGTATTTCCCTTTGGTATTTCCATCCCCTGACAACTTGGGCAGCCTTACTGACACCGAAATCTATAAGATTCAGTAACTTTAATAGCTTTGAGGATTTGGTGACCTAGCCAAAAACCTCACCTCTACATAATCTCCAAGGCTGCAGGAAGTATCCTCACTCTTAACCTGGAAAGGCTGTTCAAAATGGACAGCAATGATAAATCCAGAGGTTACCACTACATGCCAGGAACAATTCAGATTAGGAGCGTAGTCTTGAGGGTAGTTGGGGGATGTTATCACACCACTGCCTGTGCGCAAATAGCCTCCGCAACCTGAGAAAAAGGATTTGAAGCAAAGAAAAAAAAATTAGCATCAACTATTCACATATTCATTTAGAAAAAAAACCTGTCTCCTAAAAGGAAGACATGACAGGTAAAAGAAAATGTTGAAGCAAATGTATGAAGAGTTGAGGGGCACAGAGCAATACACATAATGAATGATCTCCCAAATACAAGCTTGTAGATTGTAAGATGACAAACACTAAACCTCTTGACAGTGAAACTCAGTTCTCAGACTTAACAGACAAGTAAGCAGGCAACTATGCCAAGGACCTCCCATGGCATTAGCATATTGTTACAGTCTGAGTACATTGCTGCTAGCCATGGACCAAACCACTGTCACCTGCTCAAGCTGCCAGTCAGAAAAACTGCCCCTGGCTGCCCCCTGTTATCATAACACCATCACTGGTGCCTCAGCCCATTCAGGAATCTGGGTGCATGTGGGAGGAGTGCCACTGGAAATTGCTGACATTCCTGCGGGAACTTACACAGCTTTCTGCATCTGTCTCTCTCTGGTTTGTGTCTATGCTTTGAGTCATTTATTTCCCTCTCTTAGTTGGGCATTCTTTCACCCTTCCGCTGAGCTGTTATAAGCTTAGGTGTACACTTACTTCTGAAAAGTGACTGGTCTGGTTGAATAATGCTTTGTTGCATTATATTGCTGGGAAAATAACAAATTTTACCTTTGCAGTCAGACATTTATTAATGCATTATTCATGAGATTTGAATAATTGGTCTGTGTGATTAATTAGATAGACTGCAGACAGTTGTTTAAAATGCCAGAGTCTTTTCTTTCCTCACTCCATTGTTAGCAGCAAGACAGATATTTATGTGGGGGAGAAGAGAAACAAATCTTACTTTTGTGATAAGAGGCATTAAACCCAGCTCCAGTGACGCTTGCATCTGACATGAAGTGGATGAACATCGCCTCTCCAGTTGATCTTATTGGCCCAGGAGGTTCTCGTCCACACAGAGTAGCCAGAACCGGAGAAAGACTAGTGTCTCCTGAGAGCAAAAGAAGAAATGTTAGTGTTAAAACCAAAACAGTTCAAATCTCTCTGTTGGTTGCTGGGGCTCACACTTTCAGGCAGGGCCTTTTCAAGATCTTTAACCCCTTTAACCCCTTTAACAGACTGAGAAATATGTTTATAGACCACCAAGTATTTTGCTAGACTTTGCTAGTTTTAGTTTAGCTAGCAGAATGTCTCAGCATAGAGGAAGAATACTGATTTAGAGCATGTTCCCATTGCTATCTAGATTGCTTAATCTCAATGGACATGAGAATTCCAGGTACTGGGACCTTGGGTATCTATTGCATCCTGTTGGGCTAGGGCAAGACTGGCTTCTCACCATCTTGGATAATAAGTTTGTCATAGTTGCATGAGCTGTGAGATTCTATGTCTAAGGCCAGGATATTGAACTCAACAGTGGATCCAGGAGCTCTGATAAGCCACACACAGTCAGCAAGATTTCTGTAATACATGGGCCAGTTCGGTGAGAAGAGGAATGAAGGTGTTTCTTCAGCGGTTGCAGTCCCTCCACATGCACCTGTCATGTACAAGAAGACAAAAATGAAAGCATCCTCTTTTTAAACTGAACACTCCCCTCATACAATTTAAGATGACAGTCCTATAATTAAGCACAATAAGGGCACCGTGATGATGTGTGTAGTCACAGGAATGCATGCTTCAAGCATTGCTTCAGTTTGGACTGGGAGTACAAAACCTGAAAATCCTGACCTATAAGGATGTTCCTGTGCTACCTGGTGCAGCAATGATGTGACATGTTTTACCACGAGGAATATCTAGTAAAAGGCCTACCACAGTTTTACACAGGTTGCCTATCAGAAAGGAATGGTGCATACATAACCAATAATACATAAACAATTTAGACCCTCTTGAAACTGAAGCATTTTTCTTTCTCAACTGCTAATGTCTCAGCTATAAGTTTATATCCAAATGGAGTCCTTGCTGGGATATCTTGTGGCTCAGTGCTCTCCCAGCACATAAACCCATTACATACTGCCACTATCCTGCAGAGCACTTAAACCCATTACATACTGCTACTGTCCTGCAGAGCCCCAGAGGATCCTCCATCCCTCTGTCTCCAGAAATCTGCCTTCAGATTTAGAAAGAAGACATTGCACTATGTCCTAGCTAGTGTTAACTTCCTCTTGTTGAACTTGCTCAGAGAAAATCAATGGTACAAGAAGAATATTCCCTCTCCTTCCAGGAGCTATTTGTCAGAGGTACATGATCATACTGAGCACATTTTCTTTATTTATGGATATGAGATGCATTATAGTGAAAGGTTTCATACCACAATGGCCAGTGATTTAAGAATGGTATTTCAAGAGGGATACTTTTTCATGAAAGCATATAAAATGTTTAGCTTTCATTAAATACCTGTGTAAAGAAAAACGCCCCTCTATCAACCTGCTTATTTTTAAAACACTGTAAAACAGTGTATCTGAGAATCTCTAGAAATTGTTTTAAAAAGCAATTAAAATACCTAATTAAAATGTCAATGAAATCTTTCCCTTAATTAACAGCTAGAATTTTCTCTTGTGGGGAAGTTGGTTTGCAGTTTTTTAAGTAAAGCTCGGTATATTGCTGGCTATATCAGTTTTAACCATGCAACCCACTGAAAACCCACCTCTAGCAATGGTGCGTGTAACAGCAGAAGCATCCACTGCATACCACTCCAAAAGAAAGCCTTTTCCAGTCACAGATGAATCTGACTGGAACTGGATTGTCATCGAACTGCCAGAAGATGCAAAAGAAGCAGGGTCTGCTCCACAGTATGTTGCAATAGGACGAGAATGAATGGTGGGCCCATCATAAACCTGCAGAGAGAAGAACAGTGCCGTTGCTCACACAGGCAGATTTTCTTCCGCACCATACTCAGCAAGTTTCCAAGGAGAAATTACCCTCTTTAAATGAGTGTGGGATCTTTCGGCAAATCCCAGAGAGAAATCTCTCTTACAAAAAATGGAACAAAATCTCCCTTTTCATTATACACTGTTAATTGTGAGGCTCTCACAGAAGAAGGATTTGAATGGAAGCCATCAAATTCAGCTCATTCCCCATCACAGGGCTGCTCTTTGGGGACAGGGACTGGCCTCCCATGTAAAAAAAGTCCACTGGTACAATCTTGTTCCTTGCTGAGGAAAAAAAACCCCACCACAACCTGCAGGAAAAAAAAGGCTTTTTTTTTTCCTTTTTCCCTCTGAGGAACACATATGTTTTAAATTCTATCAAGTACATATGCTTTTTTTTTTTCTTCTTCATTTTATGCATTTATAAGATAACATCTTGGCGGGTTAAAAGATAGTTCTCTTTTCCCACCTTTCAAACCTATTTGTGTTCTTGTCCTCTGCCCCTCAGTAAAAAATGTCCAGTAGAGAAAGCTAGGAAATATTAAATAAACATTAACATTATACTGAACATCTGATCAGGTTAAAGGTCAGGCTTATTCACACCCACTGAATATCTAGCTGATGTAAAAAACTTATTTTGCTTTCAGAGGGGCAGACCAAGAAAGGCAGGCTGAGTTAGAAGAAAGAAGATGCTGTTAAAATCAGACATGAGATGAAGGAAAAAGTTATATTTCCTTTTTGAACTAATATTAAATTTGGATATAAATGAATTAATAATTAATTGAAGATACTGAATATATTGAACTAGTACTAACTTTCTTTTTTCCCAAAATGAAAGAAAAGGATAATTATTGAATCAGCTGATTAAAAAACCTAACAAACAAAAAACCAGACAAGAGATTTTCTTTCTTTAACTAAGTAGTTATGTTTAGCTAAGTTCAGAAAGATGTTGCTGCCTCTGTTGTTCCACTCTGCTTAGCACAACATATACTGTATTTTTTAGCCTGGTAAAAAGGCTAGACTGTATTACAGGAAGGTACAGAAAAACAACCAACCAGGAAAAAGGAGGTACCTTCCTACTGCCAACAGCAAATTATTGATCCAGAGAGCAAAGAAGGTGCACATAAAGGATTGTTCCTTGTAGGATTTTAAAATAACCTTATTTTTAGAGGCACTGAGATGTTATTGTCACTGTTGTCCTCAAATGAACTAGCACAGAAAAAAGTTCAGTCTGGTATCTGACCTGAAATTTTTGGATTTGAAAATTCAGGATTGTACCATTGTGGACTTACTTTTGATAAGTTTCAAACTTACAGCTTAGAAATATCTGTTAGGGAGCCAAAGAGTATGTAACCCTTCTTATAGCTAATGATTATTGGACAGATGACATACCAAAACCAATAAGCCACAGCAAATCCTCGGAAATTCTTCCCATTCCTCTTGTAAGTTTCTCTATTCATCATTTTTATCAAAGTTAATTGAAATAAAAAAACTTCTCACAATGAAATCACCTTTAGCTTGTCATAATGGCATCTGTGATGATTTTCGATATCCATCTGCAGGATATGGCCATGGATGACTTGTGAAGCATTAACACTTATCCGCCACTCATAATTGGAATTGTGAGGGTAACTTCTGGGCCACTGTGGTGAAGCTATTTGGCCTCTGGTTCCCACAATGTCATTTCCATACACTGAAAAAGCAGAAAGATACAACTAATGCCTCTAATTCATATAGATTAAAAAAAGCATTGGGGCCCAGCCTAGAATATAGCTTTCATTTCAGCCCATCTGACTTAGTTTACTTAGGACTAGACAGTGCTGTGAGGCACAGACTTGTGTCTCAGACAGTCCCAGGATGCACATCTAATTATTTTCTTGTTGTGCGGGATGCTGTGTGCCCGTATCTGAAGGCAATTACCCATTCAAGTCATGTGGCTCTACATGTACGAGAGGTGGGAAGATGGCACATCTAAATTCCCCCCTGACTGCCTACTTCATGTTCATTTCTTCCCAAGAAGCATTAAATAATAAAATGATTTTTTTTAAAACACCTTTGTGTGTTCTGATGAAAAATAGTTTTGATTTCACTGAGCTCTGACCTATTGATAATTCCTTTTGCAAATGAGTAGTAAAAGTCTCAAAGTAAGAAAAACTATGCAAGTTTAGCTTGCATAATCAGAACGGCTGTGGATGTTTAGCTGCAGCAGTCTGTTCATGCAGCAAGTTGGACTGATGTTTGCAATGGTCCCTCGCAATTTTGGATCTATAAACTGGCATAATTTCCTTTTCTTCTAATTCTGCTCCCTGGTTGATGGCATCTAGATCCAAACTGGAAGAGGGACACTGTGGTACTCAAAAAGCAAAATGGAAAGCTGGGAAAGAAATGCTTTTTTCTTGATTTGTTAATTGCCTAATAAATGGCAACGTAAACATTACATACCATTGCTCACTCTCAGGTAGCAAAGACATATGGTCAGATATTTTTAGCTCTAACAGGCTACTGATAAACTTGGGTTGCCATAAAAGATTTCAGTATATAGCTCTTATTTGTATCTTCACAGCCCAATACCACTGAAGGAAGAATCTGAACACCAGGTGATAGACTGTTAGAAAACAGCCAATGAAATAGAGAACATTTTATTTTCTGTAATCCATGAAGTTTTTTGCTTCTGGAAGGATAAGAAGATAATTTTGAAAAAATATTGTCTGTTATGATAATTAAAAAAGATAGAATTTAATGTCTAATTCTTCTGATTATGTTACACACACACGAGTTCTGTTCTGATGTGTTTCAGAACATCCCTTTATATTCAGCAGATATTTTTCAAAATATTTTTTAAGTGAATTCGCAGCCTTGCTGACATAAACCAGTATTTTCTAATAAACTTTACAGGGCCAAACGTTCACTTCTTTGAATCATTTTGGAAGTGTTATGAAAGAACAACAGTTTTCAATTAAATATCATTTACTTACAGTGAGAGAATGTGGCCCTGAAGCCAACATCAGTGTCTGAGCTGTCTGAGACAAACTTGACCCACAGGATATGTCCAACAATAGACGTATAGTTTGAAGGCAAGGATTTCCCGCAGAATCGTCCTGCCAGCTTGCCTGTATCATTCCCTTCACGAATCTCCAGGTAATCTTTGGTGCAGTTGCTACTATCTTCCACCTGAAACTCTCTGTTTCAATAGCAGTAGGAGAGCATTAGCAGGCATATGACTGACACATACTTCAGAGTTTGCCCTGCCAGGCCACAAATCTGCCTGTAGCTGGTATCCTACTGTAACAGCTAAGAAAAGGGCAGCAACAAAACCCTCCAGAGCCCAGAAGTCATTGCTCATTACCTGGCAGTGCTGCTGATACAGGGCTCTTTCCTTTCTGGCCCCTTATTTTATGTCACAGCTTCAGTTTGCAAAGTTATAATTTTTAAAGAGTTCTCAAACCCTTGTAATATTTCTTGGTTCTTCAACAACAACCATTAAACGTGGAAAGCCCCTGATATATAAACCAGATTTTTAATATAAGCTGAGGTCAGACTATTTACTGGGTGCACATCGACTGAGTGCAGAGAATACTTTTAGCCTTACAAATCAGTTTGCAGACCCTTCATGTGTGTATTATTTCAGTACACTCTCTGGTGAGAAAACAATTTCCAGAGGCCTAGATTAATTTGTAGTTAACGCCTCAGAGCTCAGAATTTCCTTGGCAGTTTCTCCAGAATTAGTAAATACTACTGCTTCTCTGAGTTTCACATAGCTGGGTGTGCAAAATAATGACAGTGAACTCTTCTAAACCAATCTTTACCTTAGAAAAGGAATGGGATTTAGTAATCAAATTATAAATTCTAAGTTATTCACCAAGTTGAATGTTAAATATATTCTAAAAATCATTGTTATTCTAAGTACTTTGATTCAATCCTATATACTTTCCAGAAGCAGGCTATGAATATAGAGTAAAGATTCCAGAGAGTACCTCTTATAACCAATGCCCCAAATACTTATGCTTTCTGATTTTCTGGTAACAATTCCTCCCCTTCAGTCCTAAATATAGCCATATGTGTTCAGTGTACACATGCTGTGAAATGGTTCCAACCACTCATCTGGATATACTTCAGACTAATTTAAAGCTAACCCTCAAATTGCAAGACAGGCATTTCTGTTCAGACTGAGCTGAAGAAAATGAATGCCTCATGCCAACAAAACTTTATAAACCCCTAATATTAAATTAAATAAAATAAATACTGCTTTCTAACACAATTACTCCATGGTTTCCAGTATGTTTGGCTTGCCTTTCAGCTATATGTAACTGAAGAAAAAGACTTTACATCTACTCAGTGTCACTTTATATAACTGAATGTATGTTCCACTGATAGTTTCTGCTTCACATTAGATTTCTGTTTTGGTTCTGAAAAGTTGTTATTCATTATTTTGTAGCAAAGAATTTGGAAAATGTTTTCAGGCTGTAGTACTTTTGCTCTGCTTCAATGAGTAAAGGAAGAATAGAATGTCCTTTTTATTGAGTTAGTGAATCAGTACGTGCCTAACAAATTGCACCTTATGCAGTCAGCATGTTACTGGGCAAATTTTCCTTTTGTCCTGATTAACTCTAAATGCAGATTTCAGAATTACTTTTATTTTCCTGCTTTTGATTCTTGATAAGCTTTGCAAAGGGTCAGTGTTCTCTTTCTTGGCAGCAGCCACTGTTTGATGCCGGGAAACAGAGAGGCTCAGAAATCCACATCATGGATAAAGAACAACCTAACCACCCTGGTAAAGGACTCCACATTGTTCTGTGGATCACGCATGACTTTCCAGTCAGGAGTCTTCAAAGGAAAGTTACTTTGTCAAAGGGAAAACAAAATTCCCTCACTCTCCTTGCCCCTGTTGTACCTCCATTGCTATAATTGTTGGAGCAATTTTGAAGACTTTAATATCAATTCTAACCCTACAATCTGTGGAGTATCTGGGCTCTTTATATTACTAAGCTATATAATAAATTCTACAATGAATCAGGAAGTAAGGAAATAGTAGGAATTTCCTTTGTAAAGAAAAGGCAGAGCAATGCTAAATTTTCTCTTCTTGTTTATAAGTGAGTGAGAACTGGCTTCTTCAGCATCCCATGTCACTCAAACAATAAACCACTTATTTATATAATGCTGCATATGCCTTAATATAAGCAATGATTAAGACAGGACAACACTTGATTGCAAGCTGCCACTAACTACTGCTGTGTTCTCTTTCCAAATTATTCTAAAAACATGTTGCAGCCTTATCATCTGGTAATTACATTTCCTAATAAATACAGAGCATCCTTCCTTCAGGTCTGTTAAAGGGCTGAAAAATAACCCCTGGCAATGCATTTACATGAAAGAGAGCTGGAGCCGGTTGCCAGGGGAGCTGAGAATCGTCCAGACACACTCGGTGTTGAGCGGATAAAGCTCAGGATATCCAGGGCTGTTGAAAGCTCCTCTGTCCATGTGGAAAGTACCCCCGCAGGCTGCAACAAGAAGGAGACAGCACAGGCTTGAGGATGACATAAAAAAAAAACCCCAACCTTGACAGAGCCAGAGCATTCGCTAATCAAGAAAGCATTTCTCTTTGTCTTTAGCTTGTTGAAATACATGCTGAGACCTTGGCCAAAAAGAGGAAGGGCAAAAGGGGATTTTAAAAGATGGAATGTCAGAGAGACAAAGAGATACAGGGTCTGTTCTTTTTTCTTAAAAGTCAGAGGCATAAGGTAGCAACACCTGTCATATGGACTTACATGATGATGATGCAGCATAGGTGGCATGGAAGCCCCTGGCAGTAATGTTGTTGTTGGAGATGAAGTTGACCACCAAGGCATTACCAAAAGAAGTGATAGGATGTGGTATAGTAGTGCCACAGTAACGGCCTGAAAGAGAACAAGTCAGAGAGAGAAAAGGAGTGTTCAGCATGTAATTACTATTGCTAATTTAACATTTGGGGTTAATGCCTGACAGCAACCAGGAGGAACATTTGTTGCTTACAATTGCAGTTGTCAATTCAATCTACATAAAAATTAAATACTCCATTTCATTAGCACAGAACTCAACCCTGGTGGCTTTTTTTTTAACAGAGGAAGGACCTCCTGAACTCCAGACACCCTAGTCACTGGCTATTCTGTCATTGAGCTCCTTTGTGTTCACTCTATCCAGAAATTACAGCCTAATTG